AATACCCTGAAATTTCCTGTACTCCACACAATAGCCTGGGACAGTCAGAAGAGGCAGATGGTCATGTTCCATTCTGTTACTCACATCCAGATGTTATGAAAACAGCTGTAGGGACCAGCCCCAACCAAAAAATAAGAACCCCCCCACATACTCTGTTACTACAATCTGGCCACTGCTTTTTGAAATGCTCCTATGTCCTTATCCTGAATCCACGAAATAGTTTCCATATCCTCCCATATATGCTAACTGGCTTTTTAAAGTTTTACCCATGAAGTCCATGGGTAAAAAAAAAACAAAAACAAAAACAAAAACCCAAAAACATAAAACCTTCATTGTAAACACAAAGCTCTACGTTATAAATATGTCAATCATGGTAACTATGTATATTGTATATAAAATTAAATATCTTCTGTTTGCCAAGTATAATTTAAAAAGGACTATCTGTGGCTAGTTATAAAAAAATATTTATTAACCCATAGAGATTAAAAGGCAATTTAACTAACTCGTCTATCCAGCACATATGAAAGAGCTGTACTGGGATTCTGGATTTACCTAATCACATTCCTATGATAAATAGACAACTTTCATTTCTGGGCATATATAAGAACACTTTTGAAACCTGCATATCCCAAAAGAAAATGAGATTGTGTTGATTAAAGGCTATCAGAAATCACAGTGTAAGCAGATTTTTTAAAGATTATTTTTACCATACAATGGTTAAATTATAGACAGATTTAAAAAAGACAACACAAAAAAAAAGAACCAAAACAAGGAAACCCTTTCAGGTTGGCAGCACCACTCTGACTTGGTCAAACAGATCTATCAAGGTGGCCAAGTTGCTAAGAGGGAAAATGATATACCAGGAAAAAACTCAGAGATTTCCTGAGTATTTGGTTAAAATGAATTTATACAAAAATACAGAGAGGAATATGGCATCATTTCTACAAAGTACTTTCAAACATCTCTCTGATTTTTGTACTGATTTCAGTACCATTTTTAAATTAAAATCCATGCCCAGGACACCTCTGTCTGCACAGACAGAGCCCTCCTGAGCAAACACCTCTGATCCAAGGTCTGCCTCTCCTTTAAGAATTGCAGAAGCATCTTTCCTTCTGCTATTGGGATTTTTATTGTTCAAATATCACTTTGAAAGGACTGGATTGCTAAGAGTCATTCTCATATCTCATATTCCCAATCAGATTGTCCCTACCTTTTCATTTACCCTAAATACCTGCTGAGGATGTTTGGCTCCAGAGCTTCCAGCACAAGAACTGTTCTTTATACTCTTTCATGCACAAAGCTGTTCAGTGTCTCAGCTGAGCAGGACAGAGGATATTATTTTCTACACTATCTGAATTGCTATTAAGTTTGGGTTTGGTTTTTAATTATGCCCTAAAAACTTCCTTATTTTAGATTTTTGGTGAGAGTTTTTCCTCACAAAAGAAAACAAGAAGAAATGTTTACAAAGTTCTCATGAGACAAGAAAACAACAGACAGAGAACAAGACTAAGGAAGAGGGGGAAAAGGTTGCATCAATAAAACCACATATTAGGTAAGCATTTGCTGTGCCTGCACATGCCCTAAGTAGCACAGAGGTGACAAATACCAAATTCATGTAGGGACATTAAAGTTCATGAAAAACTAGTGGTTCATTCCCTCCTAACAGTCCCAATGCAGCCTGGAGCTCATCAGTTCTGCTGCTGGGATCCACAGCATGGCAAGAACCCCCGAGGGTTAGGAAGGGACAACAGTCATGAGAGAAAGAAAACTAAAGGATTATCTTAGGGAAGAGTGGAAACTTTCCCTTCCTCTGTGGAATCAACAAGGAAACACAGACAAATGGAACAACTCTGAGATGCACAGGGCAACCCACGGGACAGAGCCTGGGAAGCAGCACCACACACTGACCCTTTCACTGAAATGCTTTGGAAGAGGCATCTCACAGGTGAAGGATGAGGAGCTGCTTCCAAGGCACAGAGCACTGCTGCTGTTGTGCTTCCCAACAGAGCCCAGGATGAAATACAGACATGGGAGCTCTGGAGCTGGGACCTTGTCTCCCAAAAAAGGCAGGGAGAGAGAGAATCTCTAATTCTCTCAACCTCTAAGCGTGTGGCTTCCACCAGAAACCCTAAACACATGGAGAACACCAGCTCCCTTCCACAATCCCACGGGAATGGAGAACACCTCCCCAGCACAGCCAGCCTCACAAACCAGCAGGAAAGGAAGGAGCACCAGAGGTACAGGGATGGGGACACTGAGTGCTGCTCCTCCTGACACAGACCCTGCCCAGAGCAACGGCAAGGCTGAACAGGAATTGTTATGAAAGCACTGGATCCATGAGGCACCAATGTACAAATCCAGGGAACACGGGGGCAGGAGGAAGGAATCAGCTTTACTGAGACCCTTCCCTCAGCTCCTGCCTGTGGTTCAGGAATTCCTGGTGCAGCCTTTGCACAGCACAAGGACGTGTGCCACACGAGCTGAGCTGAACACAGAGCAGGAAAATACAGATTCCTACAATGCTGCACAACCATTCCTGTGCCCTTGCTCCAGTCAGATCCTATTGTTTAATATTCTGATATCTGTGCATAGGTGGCAAAATTCCCAGTCAGTTCTACACCCAGAAATCCAGAGATTCCCTGCCTGAGGGCTGGGTTGGACCAAAGAGGACTGATCTGAACCGTTACAGTCTCAAGCATCCCGTTCCTACAAGGTTCAACTGTTTAGCTCTGATTTAGTTCTATTTACAGTGGGTTTTGAGTCCCTTTATGGAGATAAACAGCACTTTTAAGGATTAAAAAATCTATCCCTCTGTGCTAGCAATTATAAGCAAGACTAACTGGCTGAGAGAAGCAATTTAATGTCACTTTTCTAAACAAGTTTAAAAAAAAATTAAAACTTTCTATCCTGTTTTCTTCTTATAATATTTTTTGTGATGACTGCAGTTTGGACAACAGTCTTAAAATAGTACCTCTGTGTAAAATTAAGTCAGGGAGGAATGAACCATGTATACATCAAATGATCCTAATATTTCAAATTTAGTTGTCTCTCAAAGCTATTTTATTTCCCTTCTATATAATCCAAATAGTAAATAATGTCTCTGCAGAGTAATAAGTGCTTAAGATCTTTTAGAAAGTATATTCTGTACAATACTAAAATCATCTTTGGTCCCAAATATAAGGAAATTACAGATTTACAGTTGCTTTTGTTTTACAAAGTGAATCAGTAATTTTAAAATTAATGCTCTGCTAAGCTCAAGTCATGATGGAAATAATGGCATTTTCAGCTGAAGAAAATATGTAAAAGCCCTCAAAGCCATTCCAGTATATTATAATAGGTGCCCAAGGATTACACTTTATTGGAAGTGTAACTGTACCACTCCTGCACTTGTCACTGCAGCTAAAAGGTAACTGTGACCTCACTCCAAGGAAAACTCAGTGAAGTCATCCCTTTTCTAGGCAAGGAAAGACACCAAATTCCTAAATTTATAGAGGGACAAGGCCTCCCACAGCTCTGCCACCACCAGGATGAGCCCAGGGAGCACAGGGGAGGACCCAGGAATCCTCCATCCCATCACTGCCATCAGCCAGCAAAGGGACAAAAAGCCTTTGCCACACATCCCCCAACTTGTGTTCCTTGATTTCAGGTGGGAGTTCCACTCCAAACACATGGATTTTCTGGAGAACGATATTTTGTATTTAGTAGGTGGTTTTGGTTCACTTTTGGTTTTGGTGGGGGATGTTTTGGGTTGTTTTTTTTTGGTTTTGTTTGGGGTTTTTTACAGTCCTTATACAAACTGCTTTAATGCCAGTTTACAATTCCAGTCCAGGTATGCTTGTGCTACTTTTAAAAAGGTTCTTCTAGGGTTTTTACTGCCAGCTATTAAAAATTGACCAAATCTCTACACACATAAACTCTCTACAAAAGTATCTCCAAACTCTCCTTGCAAACTGTGCCAGGCAGTGCTGACAAACACAGGGCTGGAACAACTCCACTGGCAATAACAAACTCTTACCACTGAACATGGAACTGTCACTTCCTGCTCAAGGAGTGCACAGCAACCCTGGTGAGACACCCCCACAATAAAATGCCTCTGTTCTAAACCCAGCACCAGGCTTAGAGGATTCAATCTTCTTTTAAACTGACCCCTTTGGCATTAACTTCCAACGAAGCACAATAAAATGTTACTACAGAACTGATAAACCACTGCTCACTAAGAAAATGCAAATTTTCTTTAAAACCATCAGTAACTCTGAATTTTAATCTCCATCTTAGCCACCCAAGTGAAATGTATTGCAGATGTCAGTGCACTGAAAATTCAAAGACATCACCTCTGTCACCTTTTTTCCCCACACATCAAGATAAATCTCTGCTCTCAGTTTGAACACTGCAGAATTAGGGTCACACCTGTCCCTACCCCAGTTCCCTCCAGCATTAAAAATCCCAGGCACTTCTACTGATCTCCTGGTTGGTGTAACCTGGTTTTCATGGTTAAAACACAACCTATTTCTTAAGGCTCCAGGTACCTGCAGTCACCCCCTGCAGAGTACAGCTACATCAGAACACAGATTCAGGCATACATGGCAGACAGTCACTCAGTCCCACTAATCCCATGGATTTTCATATTCCTCACACAGAAAGGAATTCAGCTCCAGACAGCTCCTCCCCCACAATGTCTTCATGTGACATGCAGGCAGGCAAATGCCAAATAATGAATTACACAGACAAAAACACCAAGCAAAGAAACAGAAAAATATCAAGAGACATCTTCCTAATAATATTACGGTATTATTAGGAACAGAATTTGAGGTTTAAGTAAAGAAAAATGTAATTAATTCACTGGAAGTACAATCAAAATAAGAAAATTTCAGTTAGGTAAAACTATTTCTAAACAAATCAATACAACCATATTATCTTCCAATTAGCTAAATTCATTTTCCAAAGAAACATTTGGGGGAAAAATCTGCAGAAACATCTACTTCAAAAAAAATTAAATCAGGTTTACCTACCACCAATGGTTTTAATTTTAGAACCACCATCCTTCCAAAAAGAAATATTTCTCTTACATGAATCACAACTTTGCAACCTTAGAAACACTTTATAAGCACATAATTTTTTGCTAGTTCTTGCTTACCCTGGGCTTGGAGAGAAAGCAAGTTCTAGCAAGAACTTCTAGAAATGTTGAACCTTAAAATAAAAAAAAAAGGGGGGGGGGCAAAAAAAAAAAAAGCCATAGCTGGAATTAAGTCTATTGGATGACAACCCTTTCTTTCTCTACTGTGTCCTTCAAACCCCTTTTCTCCACCTGTCTCCCATTTTGGAATGAAAAAGAGAACATATCCCACCATTAGCACAGAACCACCTCCTTGCACTGGTGCATCCCAAGGACCCCCAGCAACTGCACACGAGTTCAGAGCTGGCCAGGGGCACACAGGAACTGCAGTGGGCACAGGACCCACCCCAAACACACAGGAACTGCAGTGGGCACAGGACCCACCCCAAACGCACAGGAACTGCAGTGGGCACAGGACCCACCCCAAACACCGGGAATGCTTTCCAGCTCCTCCAGCCGAGTGTGCCACGGGAGCTCCTGCGGATGGGGCTCTGTGGGGATGGGCAGACAGTTTGCTGGACAGGGGACGTGGCTGAAGTTATTGCTGTTTGCCCCTCACCTCCTCCTGGGGGTATGAAATCACTTCTGGGGGGTTCCTCTCCCGTGTGAGCCAAGCCAGGCGTGCTGGGGGTGCTGGTCCCGAGTGCTCGCGGCAGACGAAGAACACGGATCTCCAGAGAGGGAAGGAAACCACTGTGCAGTCAATCCAGAACAGTAACATACTTCAAAACATATATATAAAATATATTATATAAGCTATATAATATATGCATATACATATGCAGAGATCTTGAACGGATCTTGAATGACCATTTCCTGCCTCCAGCCAACAGCTCCTGACTCGACGGCACACACACAGGGCTGGGCATCCTCTGCCACCCTCTGATCTTCCTTTTCCTCCGTAAATAAAGAAAAAACCCTTATTCCATGAGGGAGTCAAGCACTTGTTTTCCCTTTGCAGTCCCCCTGGAAGGTCTGTCACGCGTCCAGGCGCTGGATCTCCGGGCGATGAACGACCTCCCTGGACTCTGTCCGAGCACGGATGTAGTCGCTGGTCTGTCGGCTGCTCTGCTGCCTGTTCACTCGCCACTTCCTAACAGCCAGGAATGTGTTCACAGCATACACTGCCATTGCCAGGAAACCAAACACCTACAGCAAGGACAAAGAGCTGTCAAAGACGGTTTTTGAGAACAAGAAGAAAAGCAGTTTCCCAACAAAGTCCTCAGAAGTTTAGTTTTCTGCATTATTTGCACTGACAAATCACCACGGCCTGCAAAATTGATGCTTTTCTTCTTCAGTGAACTAGAGAATCTGCCAAAGTGACTAAGATCAAGGATCCCAGGAAACAAAGTTCCCTGACTACCAACATGACAATTAAATCCTGGAGGAAGACCCTCTTGTAAAGGAAGCAGGTCTTCATCCAGCAGCTCATTCCTGAGGGTGCACAACAGTGAGGGAATGACAGGAGGTGACCAGTCCAGGCCACTGGCCTGGAGAAGGAGCTACTCTGCAGTTCTTCCTTTATGCTTCTGCAGAACTGATGTATGATTTTCAAAACCAGGTCTGAAAAGAAAATTAAAAAGCTTGCCATCTCAAGCACAAAATTAACTTGCTTGAACTGACTGCTGTAGATTTAAAACCTTGAAGGGCTTCTATACTCACTCCACAAAACAAAAAATCATCTGTAGTGAGTAAATAATCAGCAAATTATGTGTAAACAACTGCAACTTCTTCTTGAATTTTTGGGTCTATCTTTTCCATAGGCTTAAAAAACAGAGCAGGATCATCTAAGCTGGCTACAGAGAAAGAAGCAAGGCCAGTTCAACTGTAAAGTGTTCTCTACAAGCCATTGTTCTGTTTGTTCTTGCCTCAGCTCAAAGGACATTAATACTCTTAAAATAAGAATTATCTTATAGCAAACTGTAAAATTAGAAGTAAATTGTGATGGCAAAGGCAACAGGTGTATTCAATTAATGAGTAAAAGTTAATCTTTAGTTTTGATATGAGTTAGATACAAAGAAGTTCAAATTCTTACCACAGCAGCAATTTCTGCTCCAGTTTTATGGTTTAAAGCAGCAAGTACTACAGAGGCAATGAAAAAGAAGAAAGTGCTGAGTCCAGTGTTGACCAGATCCTAAAAAAATAAATTCATTAGCATTACTAAATGATGATTCTTGGCTTCCTTTTCTTAGAAGTGACAACACAGAAGGGTAGAACAAGAACCAGAGCAATGCCTCCCCACTTTCTATGGAGTTGATCACTTGTACAAAAGAAGGCCAAGATTACTGCCCAGGATCAGTGTGCACTGGGCTGTGACCTGAGACACAAAGCAGCAGGGCAGCCTCTGCACACATCATTCCTTCTCTGCTGGGTTCATACTAAAGGACTGGCAGCATAAAGAATGACTAAAGCTGTTCTACCTCAGCTGGCACTGAAGTAACCTGAATGTCCAACTTGAGCACTCCAGGAACTCCTTGTTCTCTCTCACATCAGCACTCAGGGGCTTTTCTACAAATTTTTGAGCCCTTCACTGTACAAACCTGCACACCCTGTGCCATTTCTATGAGTAGCAGCTGCCTGTATTGTAAGAATACACAGATCTTTACTATTCACTGCCTAAAACTGATGTTTCAAGCAGACACTTTAGAACATATGCACAGCAACACATTCAGAAAACTCTTGTTTTGCTCCAAGCAGAGAAGAACAACTTGCTACACACAATTCAGTGATCCACGTGCTGCACACGTCACTGGTGCTCAGGTGATTATGCCACCATGCCTTACATAAAACAGGCTCATCAACAGAAGGAAGAATTCTGAATGGCAGTTCTTAGCACAATAATAATTATACTATACAAGACTTACCTGATCAGATTTGAGAAAAAAAAATTCAAGGGTTTAAGATAATAGCAGAAACACAGTGGAGATCCATTAGGGAATGTTCACTGTGTTACTCAGGGTATCCTTCACAAGTTTAAAACATTTGGTCTGGATGGACACTGCACTATCTGCACACTGCCATTAAACTGGGAATACCACTCCCAAACCACAATACAAGACTACCATGGGAATGGAATAACAGGTGAGGTCGGGGTGGAGGAACCAAGAAATGGCAGTTCAGCACAAACATCCTGGAGGAACATGAAATTAGGGAGAAGTGAATATTATCAGAGACAAAAGGGATTGAAAGAGAACCTGTACACAAGATTGCTGGGTAACTTACAGGTCTGAGTTAAAGAAAAAACCCAAACACACAACAAAACCACACTGAACATGCCAACTCCCACCATAAAATGAAAAAAACCACATTAATTACAATCCAAGGACAAACTGTTCTACTTGACTCCCTTCTCACACATGCAAGGCAGGCTCACTTCCTGATCCTGCTCCTTCACTTACTCATGGTTTTTTATCATTTTAGAAGTCAGGCTAGAAGACTAAAGACATAAATCTAAACTTACTCCCTGGGTATGAGTCCCATGGCTGTGTTCCAGTTACACGGCACAAAGACTTGGAAAAGCCCAATGTCAACCAGCCACTCCCAAAAAAACACCCGTTTTTCCAGCCATGATCAGACAATGCTTTAGAAAGTAAGTGCCAAACCTGCAAGTTCCTGGTGCTGTGTTATTCACAGAGAAAACCATCTATTTGAGGGTGCTGGCTCAGCAACAGCTGGTTATCAAAATTCAGTGTACCTGGGGACTGTGTGAGGCATCACTGGGGCCTGATCCTCACTAAAAGGGGGACTTTCCCAAGGAATCAGAGAGGAATCCCTGCTCATTGCTATTCCAACTCACATGTCCAGATGTCATGAGCCCAGCAAGACCCAACCTGTCTTATCAAACAGTAAAGAAACAAAAGCAAACTGAGGGTCTCAGAAACTCCAACCCACCTTTTATCCCTGCTCAAGCTTACTGAGACAGATGTTATCTAGCACTGAAGACACCAAACCAAATCAGAATCCTATCAACTGGTTATGGCACTTTTAATTATATAACTTCTTGTTTGCAGAGATAAAACCTTTACATAAACAGAGGCATTAGAAAACAAATGTCATTTCACAGTTTCTCCAAGTATCCCCTCTCCAGCTCTGAGCTGATGGCTCTAACTGTGCTCCTGCAGCTGCCAACAAGAGCTGGGGTTCTCATCTCACAAACCTTTTTTCCACTAGAGGGAAAGTCTCACCATACACTACAGATTCAGACTCAACAGTATTCAACGTTTCCATCAAGTCTCTGTGTATGTCACCAAGAATTCTGAAACTAAATACTGAGGAGAGGGCAGCTATGCTCTTTGATAATTAAAAATAATTAATTAGTTCAATTCAGTCAAGCTGCGTATTTTACAACCAAAGTACATTTGGCATCTGCAGGAAGGACCTACAGAATAAAATCCTAGGAAAAAATACCTCAGAACTTAGTAATTACAGTAGGCAAGCATCTTGAGATGTGTTGCCATGACCAAAAAAGGGGGGAAAAAAGCACTTTGTCCACTCCTTTGGACGGATGGACACGAGGAGTGTACAGTGGTAATCTCCCCTTTGCAAGGGACACTGGAATGCTGAGTCCTGCTCCAGTATCCATAGTTATAAAAGAATGTTGAAAAATTGGACAGAGTGCAGAGAAAAGCCACAGAAGTTATTCAAAAGGAGGAGAAAATTTCTCACAATTTCAAAAGAAAATATGTGAATGTTGAGTATTTGAATGTTAAAGGAAGAACCCAGTGTTCAAATAATCAAAAAATACGAGCTGTTTTCAAAGCTTAACATCAAACAGCACAACAAAATTAACAGCATAACAAAATTAAGAGCTGCAAAGTTAAGGCCCAAGTCATGTTCAAAATGAAGTGAGTTTTAATTTAAGGGAGCAAACCAACAGAACAAGCAGCCAAAGACGTGCTTAATATTCTACCTTTTCACTTCTAATCCAGATTGTGTTTTTTCAGAGCCACATTTTGGACTTCCTTAGTATCATATTTAAAGGCCAAGTGGATGACACATAATGCTGCATGATTTATGAGCTCAGATATGTTTATTAATTAACCCTGATGACCTCTAACTTTTTGAGTCTGTCGGCCTGATCACCTTTCCAAAGCATGAGCAAGATGACCAGGCCTCCCCACAACACAACACACCACACATTGTGACCCATCTCCAGGCTCCAAACTGACCTGAAGGCTTCTTTGAGAAGTCTGAGATACTGCAGAATATAAAATATATAAAATACTGAATATAAAATGCTTTTTCTAATGTACTTTGATATAAGTACATTAGAAACTTGTCATCATCACTGGCATTGTGTTTGATGGTACTTTTTACATAAGAATAAAGTTTGTCCTTGCAAAGAATTCAACAATGCAAATCTAAAGAACTGATCTTGAGGTTCCAATTTATTCATATCTGCAACTCCATTTTTCCTATTAAGGTCAAACCTTTTTAATGCAATTAACAACTGATTCACATTTGCACAATAAGGCTGGTTTCTTAAAAAGCTCAAACCACTATGATCTTTTATATCCACAGATCAGATTGTTTAGAGCTTGAGGAGCAATGACACTTACCAGCAACACTGTCCTACAGACATATAATGGGATCATCACAGATGCAAATTTCAGGGGAGGTTTTTAATCCAAAATTTGAGCAGAAAGATAAGAAAAGGAAAAAAAACCCCACAGTGGTTTTGGACAAAGTCAGAGCAGAAACAAAAGAAAACAAACTACAGCAAGAATTCAAGAAGTAAAGGACACTCCTTTTTTCCACGTAAGAGAAAATGAACAATCGTGACAATAAGAAGAATAAACTAATTGAAAAAAGATGAGCTGTTTCAAATCTGGCCACGATGTAGCTGAAGTTCTTGCTATTATATTTATAGACAAAGTAAAACCACATCACAGAGGTAGAAGAATTTCTGCTGAAATTGCAGCAACCTCATGAGACAGTGTGCTGTGCCATGGAACACTGTGCAGAGCTGCCAGCCACAACACAATCAGACCCAGGAGCTGAATCAAAGCCACTCCAGGCTGCTCCTGCTCCCTTTCTCCTGTCCCAAATGATCTCAAAGGAACAACTCCCTTGCAAGTCCCAGAATCACAGAATCACCGAGGCTGGAAAAGAGCTCGAGATCATCGAGTCCCATCTGAGTCATCCTGTCCACTCACCAAGGTCCTGTCAGGCCAAAGGAGGGATCCACGGCCCTTTACCTGCTGTCTGTCCCACTCAGAAGGAGCACAAGGCAGAGGAGAGTCATCACTTGTGGATGAAGATGGGCTGATGCCAAGGTAAGTGTTTTATGCTAAAAAACAGGATGCTTTTGTTCTGCTGTAAAGGGGGGAAACTCCATTCTGTGAGTCTGTGGCCATCCTACATTCTTTCATTTTTAGGGATCTGGGCAGCTGTGGTTCCTGATCAATGAGGATGGAAAAGAGGAATTGGTGCTAAGAACTTAACAGACCTGAAGAGCCTCATTAGGTAACTTATGAAACCCAAGGCACCTCAGCTTTGAAAGCTTCTGCTCAGCCTTCCAGGTTGGTGCTTCACCAGGAAGGGGCTCTGATGCTCAGAGGCTCCAGTAACACCCACATGCCTTTATCCACAGCTCCCCATGGCTTCACACACGCAAACCTTTCAGAAATATTCAATAACAATGCATGCTCTGCCTTTGTATTCTGTATTTTGTGGTGAAATAAGCAACCAGGCACTATTTAAAAGGCAGAAAGTGCCATATTGCAACTTGTAGACACAAAAATATGTCATTTAAACTGGTGGCTGCTTTTGTCATTTGCCTTCTGAAATCCAAAAGTGTACATTTAGATGGAGTTTAAAGCAGCTAAATCAATGTAATCTGGAAAAGAAGCCTGCACATTTCAACAGCCTGATTGTGCCACAAAAGGTGTCCAGGTTATCTTCCACAGGAGAGCCCAAAGTAACATTTCCTTTTAGTTCTGTTTGGGTTTGGTGGTTTGTTTTTCAGTTGGCAGGGGAAGGAAGGGGGAGTGTGGTTATGAATTTTTAATATTTTTCTTTGTACAATGCCCCTCATTTTTCCTCCAACCACTGCTTTACTTGCAAGGTTTGGGAACTTCCCCCTTGCTTCTATATGAAGTTATCAGGTTGAAGGTCACAAACACACCAGTCAGTCCTCTAAACCAATCACTTCTGGTCAAACTCTCACAATTTTGCTCTGAAATCATATTATTAAACACTTTTTGAGTATTTTGCACTTCAATTAAAAATTAAAACATGGTTCCTCAAACAAAAATAAGTCCTAGGTAGAAAGCACCAAATTAACAGTATGAGCATGAATTCCCATCTCCTTTTTTCCTTATTTATTTAGGCTTACCCAGCTGTGGGAGCCTGTGTTGAAGCACAGTAATCCCGAGCAATAATCCAGAGGAAATTAATTTTGGCAATTTTTTAAAATTTATAAAATATGCATTTTTGTCCTCAATAGGTATTGCTATTTTGACAGCAGTAAACAGAGAGGCCAAGGGTGACTTACTTAATTTTTCATTCAACAGCTAAGCAAGCCAAAGCAAGTTGTTTTTTTCAAAACAGAAGGGGAAATAAATAAATTAAAAATAAAAATCTAAATCAAGATTGTCCTGTGAAGGCCCATGAACTACAGCTTTGTGATTCCACCTTCCAGAGCCAAGGCTGGCAGGAGACACTTTGTCATTCTGGCACCACGGGGAATTCTCTGCCAACTCCTTCAAGTGTCAGTGCTTGCACACAAGGTTTCACTGCCACAACAACAGCAAAAAACAACCCTGCAGAGATGATGAAATCAGTTCTGAGGCAGCACAAAACACCAGGACTGATCTGTGTGTTCCCACACACACCCCTGGGTCCCTGTGCGTCCTCCCTGGCACTGAGTCCAGCCCAGTGGAACTCCGAGTTTGGGCTGTGCCCAGTTTAGGCCTCACTTCTGAGGCTGCTCTAGGCTGAAATGCTCTCTACATTCACACCAAATACACCACCAGAGTTCCAGTGAGTGCTTCAGAAAAAAAGAAAAATGAAAAAACAAAATTAAAAAATCAATGGTAAGAAATCTCTGGGAAGATGTTTTTTTTCCCCTTACACACAAATAGTTCATTGCACTGGCTGATCCTGCAGGGCCAGCTCGTGCACACAGCTTGGCTGCCACTTCTTAAGCTCTCCCTGCAGATCAGATGAGATTCAAAGAGTGAATTTTAGGGAGAACAGATCATTTAGCCAAAGCCAAAATTACATCAAACGTTCAGTTTTTAGTTCCTAGCGGAGTAACTGGTTAAGCAGGAGCCTCTGCTGTGCTGTGCTCTCCATTCCCCTGACCCCTGTCTCCCTGCAGAATAGGTTCCCTTTGAGCATCAAGGAAATGGAAATTTCCACTGACAGGTTCCCCAGCTTTTGCATTTTTGCATAACATTGACAGTGCTGCACAACACAGACAAGTGACTGTTCTTTCATCTTCCTGAACAAACCAGCCTCTTTCCAACATACCCAAGCAAGGCTCTTTTCTGGCCTCAGCATCTCCAGGTTTCTTGCATGTTTGCCTCGGGAAAATAGGAAAATCACTGGCAAGTCTCTAATTAGGATCAAAACAATCTCTCTTCCTCAAATGGCTAAAAATATGTGTTTAAAAAAAATAGCAAATTTGCCTGTCTGTTAGGGGATCATATACAGATCCATGTTTTCATTCCAACAGTGGGCATCAGGCAATATCCACAAGGCATCAGAAAGAATTCTAATTTTACTCAACTTTTAAAGGAAACAATCCTGTGTTGGACAATGGCAGTTGATGGCCACATACTTTCAAATACGTAGGACCATTTGAAAGCAAATAGTTTCAAATGGTTCCTAGGAATAAGCGCTGTTTCAAAAGAAATAAGTGTTCCTAAATTCAAGCCTATTAAATTCCTTCAGGCACTGTAACAGTCTCTTCTCACACAGCTTCTAAAAGCAACGTTTGAGACTTTCCATTACAAAGTCAAATATATTTTTAAAAGCATGTATGTTGATGAATTTATACACAAGCAGGAGTGACTTCCTCCTAAAGCATTCAAAGTCTTGTTCAGAAAGCAACTCCTGCAGTAACTGTGCCACAGACAGAGGCTGCAAATTTATAAAAGTAACCATCAAACACAGGAAAGGAATAAATATTGCCAGAAGCAAATGTATGAATATACATCTAAATTGTAAAGAATAAAATGCCAAAATAAGTAAAAACAAACAAACAAAAAATCAGTCACAACCCTACATTCTTAAATTTCCTACTAACTTGGCCGAAGTGATCTCCCACAGCAGCCTTTGAGCTCACATTCCATGTGTTCAACAGCAGAGCTGCTGCAGAATCACAGAATGGTCCTTAATCCTTCTGATTAATGAAGATATTCCTTCACTCTGGCAGAGTAACAGTCCTGTCACACAAGTGATTGTTAAATCAGTAAGAAATACAGGAAGAAGGATGCTCTCATCAGTTACTGGAAGACACAAGCTTCCAGCTCCCTTCTCACTGCTGGTGGACAGCTTTGGTATCATGATGAAAGAAGCATTTCACCTTCACTAGTTCATAAAAGATTGAGACCTGCAAGACTGTGACAATTCCCTTCCACATCCGTGGATCTGGGAATATGAACTAAAGCAAAGGCCTTTGCAGTGTGTTCCATGTGCTGTTTGGGTTGAACTCTGACTGTGCTGCTTAGGTAGAGCATGACCACTGCCCAAAAACCAAAATACTCTTTTAAAACAAAGGGGGAAAAAAAGAAAAAGAAAAACTCCAACTGGTTGGATTTTTAAGCCCTCCTTTCCCTAAAAATCTCCTAACAGAGTGCTATGCAGAAACAGGTAACACTACCTCAAAGTGACAATTCTTGCCTCTCAAGTACCATCAGAAGTCAGAGAGGCTGGAAGGACCTACCAGTGACACACAGGGATCTGCTGCATCCTCTGAGGAGAGAGGCCCAGAGCTGCATTTAGGCTGCTGCACTCAAGGATGTCCCACACATTGCCAGATGTGGTGGGCAGTAACTGTGCCACAGGGATCCACAACAGAGCCACAGGTACAGCTACAGAACCAAGGGTGTGAGAAGTCACTGAACATCCAGAGACACAGCTCCAGCTCCTGCATGGACACCACACACCCCACCCCTGGGGGCACATCCAGAGATACAGCTCCAGCTCCTGCATGGACACCACACACCCCACCCCTGGGGGCACTGAAAAGGTCTTGGTCAAACTCACTTTGCACATAAGCCAGGTATGTATTCCCCGTGGATCCACTCCCATCACACTAGCAAGAGCAATATGGGTTTATGGACACTGCTGCACTTACACACACTTGTTCTGCTCCTGAAAATCCTACCAGCATGTCCAGAACTTTTGCCATAAAAGATGGTCTGCAGTAGCTGCTGTGATGCTCATGGCACACCCAGGCTGGCACCAGAAACACAGAGCACCTCCTCTGCTGCTCTTCAGCTTGGCTGCAAAGGTCTGTGGTGCCAACAGAGGCAGAATGAAAACCAAAGGAACAAGGGCAAGGCAACCCAGGAACATTCCAGGGGTTCCACTGGTTTTGCTTTGCAAGCCACCTGGATCCGCCCCACCTACAGCCCCCAGTTACAGCTCTCAGTCCATCTGATCTATACACCAAGACTCTTAGGAGTTCATCAGTAGATTATGCAGCCCTAGAGCACAAAGGATCATTTAATTTCACATTCCACTCTCATTTTAGACAAGTCATTCAGGCTTAGAAATGAAGCAAATTGCAACATTAATAAATTACATTAAAAAAATTAACAAAAAAAAAATCACACAGAAGCCTAAAAACATCTGAGATGCTAACAGTATTTATATAATTACTGTTATAAAATAAAATATTGGCACAACTGTATCTATACCGTCCAGAGAAGTTGATATATTGTCCTTGAAGCTGACAGATCTTTTGCTAGAGTGACTTAACATGTTGATTTTGTGACCTGTGTTTATGCAACCCAATCTGAAAGTTTAACTCCTAATACAGCATGAAAATAGAGACTTGTACAACAGGAATGTGCACTGCCAGCAGTTCTCCTCCTCAGCCTCCTCAGATCTGAGAACACATTAAGCATTGGCAGTCAGTGTTTAATAGTCATGTGTGTAAGCAATTCAAAACACCTGATTTTCACAGAAAGCACATCATTTTCTACACTCCTGCCCGATGATTGTATTAATCTGTGTAAGAAAATATATGTAGCACATTTGTCCTAATATAAAAAAACCCTAGGTTAAGAGAACAACAGGCTACTGTAAATACAGCATCTGTCAAAGTTAAATAACCACAGGTTGCATTTTTATCCACTTCATCCACAAAGGGTAATTGCTGGCAGTCGCAGGAAGTTTTTCCTTCCAAAGAGAATCTACCAGAAGTCAATTTTAGTTCTATTTAGTGTAGTTCAATCTTGTTACATTTCAAAGCTCATGCTGCTGTTAGATTCAAAATAAATCTAAGCACAATGCATACTTTACTCAGCACAAAGGACACTCACACACAACCTTAAGCAACGGCAAAAAGTAAAGTTCAAAGACCAAACTTAAGCCAGACTTGCAGCTATTTTTAACAGAGTGAAGTGGAGGAACTTACAGTGAGATTCCAGTTGATCTGTGGTATCCTCGTGTGAAGGTTTAGGCTGAACAAAAGCAGGAGAGCCCCGGTGACCACGAGGGCACTGCAGCTCACAAACTCAAAGAAGTACAGGCCCTCGCAGGGGGAGCATTCCATGATGGTCTCGATGCAGATGAACGCCGTCAGCGCCAAAACCTGGGAAGAAAAACAAGTGGAAAAAAAAATAAATAGATTTCCGCATTTTGAAAGTAGCCACAAGTATTCCTGAAATTTCCATTGGGAACACGATCAGTTTGCACTCAGGAATGCGTGATTTTAGTTTACAGCAGGGCACTGTCTAAGGAGCAGAAACAAAAGCAAATCAGTGCACGACTCTGTGGGTTTGTCCCGTTCAACAAAGGGTATTTTAGCAAAATTAACAGGGAGTCAAAACATCAAAATGGCCAAGACACCCCAAAAAGCAGGAAACCCCTTCAGGCCACTGGTTCAACGTGCAAACAGCACCTCAAACATTTTATTCCATTTTCCACTCGTGATATGCTGTTCCAGAACTGGAAGATGGAATGCATTTGTCTACTGGGCCAACCTCAAGCACAATTACATAATGTCATGTGATTGTGAAAGACATTTCAATGAAGACATTACTTATAATTCACAACCAGCTGAGATCTAAATCAATTCCAAATAGAACAGATTCAGGATCTCCACCAGTCTCCAAAAATGCCTGCCTTTTTCAAGTTTATCATCATCAGTATGCTGTATTTCATGTAAAAACATGTTTTATCATTCCCTTATACGACAATAAAACAAGCAGCTCATAGAGGAAGGAAAACCTCCTGGGGCTGCAAACACAAACATGTAACTGGGATAATGGTTGGTGACACTAAATTCAGGAGATATCTTGGCAGAGTTGACACATGCAGACTTTGACAAGACGAGAGTTTAATTCACCATTTAGGATACAATGCAAACTCACTATACTTTAAAAAAGTCTGCCCAGTGGACAAAACTAAACCATATAAAAATAAAACCTCAATATGAGCTGAGAACCACCCCAGAGACACCATTAGATCCCCTGAGAGCACCACAGAGCACACAACTCACACAGTCTGGGTCAGAGTCCTCCTGAAATGCAACTGGGAAAACAAAAACAGTGCCATGGATGGTTTGGGTTTGGGTTTTTTTTCATTTTCCAGGGCAAGCAAAGAAGTCCTTAAGACTGTTTTGCTCTGGGTTTCAGGACAACCACTCCCACCCACCCACTTACATTTTTCAGAAAGAATTCTCTTCTTGCTCTGCCACAATATTCTAATGAGGCTGGAGAAGTCACTTCAATTTGAGGATGTGAAACAAAAGGAGATGGTTTCCTCAGAGCTAAATATTCCGCAATTTAAATGTTTTGTACAAATAAAAGTTTAAAAGATGATAAAAACCATAATAAAAATCAATTTCTGCTAAATCCTTCTTGGCCAATTTCAATGTATGCTTCATCCATTAGTTTGTCTTTGATTCCTATGACAAAACTAACAAAACGAAGATGGATTTTGAAAGAAGTTACTATTTTTGTCACCAACACCAACAGTAATTCTAATTAAAGCATAATATCCCTCCTGCTTCATTTGCCACATACAGTAGCAAATTTAAGTTGAAAAATGGATTAAAACAAAGCAAAACAATTTTAATAAGAAACCTCACACTTGGTTGGAAAGTCTCTCATAGCTCACTGGGCACATGCTCATGAGGAGAGCACATGCCATACTAATTTCTGTCAGCTAACAGAGCAGGGCAATGCCCATCAAACAAATTCTGAATGTATACCCAGTGAGTAAACACTTCAGATTTTAATCTTTGACACTGAATAGCTCCAGAAAAAAAGATCATGCAGTGAAATGGAATATTCAGAAAAGCAGAATCAAAGTCAAAGTATGATTTCAGCAACGACACACATACAAAAAAAACCTCCTGTTCAGAACACAGTCTGATTTTAAAGTATTAGCATGTAATAATATTGGCATGTAATTAGCATGTCTGTGAACACAAGCCTCGTGACTGAAGATGACACTGAATACAATTTTCAAAAGGTAAAGCTCTAAAAATCAATCTTAGCAGTTCCAAGCAGGATCAATGTCATGTATTAATGCTAAATATTAGCCAGCAAAACTTTAACTTTCAGATGTTCCAATATAATAAAGTCTCTATTTTTCTTGCCACTATTTTGGATCTATTATGACACTTGTAAACTTTTTATTCTTTTAGCAGAAATGCTTCTGCAATATTCACTAGAAATACTGTAGGACAAGCCCCAACAATAGTAGGTTCATTATCTCAAAACATGAACAGCTCTGAATTGTGCTGCCAACAGGAGGCTGTGTTGGCCAAAATCTCTGGCACCCCAGGGCTGTGCTGGGCAGCTGGAACTTGGCACGTGGAGTCTCTGGTGTTCTGCTGATAAAAGTCCCACCCTGACTCTTCTCCACACCAGACAGCACTGCTCCTTCAAGGCCAACACACCCATCGTGGCTATCAAAGCTCAAAAAACATCAAAGGGTTTCTTGCATCCAGCACTGGAAATTAATTATGTGCTGAAGAGGCACTTGGAGCAATGAACTCTAATAATCATGTGATATTTACATATTCCCAGGCTCTGAATTAATAAACTCCAGAGCAATTCTACCTTTAGAGTTTATTTTATCCCTTAAGAAACTATAAACACATTCACCTGTGACACACCCTTGTTGGTTGTGTACACTTAGGTTTGACTTAATTAAACCTCCTTTCTGATGGAAGGAAAGATGTGCCACGAGTTTAACCACATCCAGCAGCACCAGGGGACAGAGGTCTGGGGGCTGTTTTTCTGCTCAGCAGAGGCTGGGAGAAAACCTCAACTCTCCAGTGTCTGCTGGAGATCCTGGCTCCAAACAGAGGCTGTTCTGGAATAAGGACAGTGACTGACCCTGCACAGAACATTATCACCGAGGGCACTGGCACCTGAACACCTCCTGGCCGGGGGACAGGGAGGGGACAACACTCCCACACACACAGTTTGCTTCTAGCACTTCGGTACTTGGAGTCCAACTAAATGTGTTCCTGTTTTTCTTGCAATAAAAATACATCTCACCCCTCTCAAAGATTATCCACCCTGCCAGTGCTACGGTGCTTTCTGTTACCTGCCCATTATTTGTCTTACAACAAAGCTATGAAAAAAAATGAAATCCAAATTAACCACTACATCAGAAAAAAGCTACCCTCTCACAGAAACTTCCCTTTTCCTAATCACAATAAAAATCTCCGTCTTCAATACAAAATCCTTTCTCTTTGAAACATCAGGATAATCTTTTTCTCCTACACATTTATGAACTTGCCAGCAGCATCCTTCCAATTAACTACAAGTAATACGAATCTGCTATTAAAATATGCCAGTTCCACTTTCACTGACCATTCCCTCAAAGATAAATCTAATTTTGTTTTTAATAAAGAAGCAAATCACCCTGAACACATGAAATGAAAGTGAAATACATGGGGTTGATTCTACAACCCCACGACTTACTCAGAGAGCTACAACACTCTGAAGTGTTGTGTAAATGCTGCCACTTGAGCCAAAGAATTTGTCAAAGGTCACAGCCCAGCCAGTGAGCAAGTTCATTGAAAAAAAAAAAAAAAAAAAAAAAAAAAAAAAAAAAAAAAAAAAAAAACAAGAAAAAACCAATGTGTTCTTTATTTTCTCAGTATTTTTAAATTTATGGAACAAGTCATTTATGAGACAGGGTACACAGATGAGGCAGTGAATTAACACAGTTCTGCCACCCAGATACCCCTTATGACACGGCCACAGCAGACTGAGGTTGCCCACTGCAGACACACCAAAATTCAGGCTAGGGCTCAGCTCCCCCATCCTATTTTCTGAGGGACTTCGGTGCAGGTTCAGTGCTAATTTTCTCCTGTTCCCACACAGATCTTTGTAACTATAATGGAAACACCTTCTTTCTCCCCTATGTTTACCTCCACTCCCTGTCTGACCACCCATCAGTGCCCACCAAACAGGCTCATCTACACACAGCTCACATCTCACCAAGGCTCAAAGAACTAAAAAGTCACTTCTCCAGAGCTTCCTACGCTCTTCCCTCTGCAACACCACACATCCAAGATAAAACTGGTGCCACGCTGGCTACACACACTGCCCTGGGAAGAGCAAGGAAGGACCAGGACCCTCCAGCCCCCGGGAAGCCCCCACGCTCCACCCAGAATGGCACTGCCCCGGGTGACAGGCACAGAGCTACACCAGAGAGACCCCTCCGCTGCTAAAGCTCTGCCCTTGCTTTGGAACACTCAAGAAACCAAGATCCAGGATCCTGTGTCTGCCTCCCACCACTGCAGTTCCAACACTAGCTAAAAAATCAGAAAACCAAAGAAACAGCATTATATCAGAGCACAGGCCTCAGCCAACAGAACACTGGCATTTGTCCAGCACGGGAGACAAACCCCCCACTTTCAAATCACACGTCTTTTCATAGTTCAGAGTGATGAGATTTGACAAGTTTTTCCACAAGCAGAAGTTTCAAGGTTGGTTTACCAAGGAAAAACGAGAAGTTGAATGTGGTGGAGGTCTCCTCTTACATGAATTACTGCTCTCTCCCACAAATAACACAGCTACAGCTTTCTCGGGCCCAGGCAACCAAGCTAGTTTTCTCTGATGGATGAAACAAACCTTTTCATCGGTTTTTCTCCACACCAAATACTTCAGAGAGCTTTTTATTTCACCCCAATTCTTCCAATACCCTAAGATTTGTATAGCACTCTTTTATTACTGTATTTCTCTCTTCAACATTTGCTTTTGGTTTCTCTTCTACTTCCACTCTTCTTGAAGTAACTCCAGTGGATATTGCATCAGAACACAACTTTATTGTGATGGAAACATCTGCTCACTGCACTGGATGCTCAGCTCCATGCAGAGGCATCCTGGGCTCCCTGCAGTGTCACCTTTGTCCTGAACAAAGAGATGCAGGAGTGTGGTCACCAAAGCAGGACCCCAAAGAACGGGGTAAGCTCAGGATGAGCTGAGCTGGGTGTGCCCAGTGTGTGAGTGCAGCTCCAGCTCTGGGACAGAGCAAACACATCCCGCCCTTCATCCACCACCTCCCACCACCACAGAACCAAAGGCAGAAGGAAAAACCTCCAAGTGGAGGAATAAGGATGAG